TCCCAAGGCAGAGAGCGCAGCAGAGCCCCGGAGACGCTGAGGGCCCAGCAGCCTGCAGCCGCGCGGCTGGATGAGACACCAAGCGAGGCACTGGACAGCCAGCCACGAGTGGACAGACCAAGGATTCAGGGAAGGCTGTGCCTGCTCATTGCGAGGGTGGAGCTGCCTTCCTGAAACATCTAGAACGTTCCAGAAGGCTGTGTGCTACGTGACCTCAGCTTCCCTGCAAAGCCAGGGAGGGCCCGCGGGCAGGTGATGTGCCCCCTCCCTGCTGGCCTGATTCCAGCACAGAGCTAGAGTTGCCCGCCCACTGTCCAGTGCCAGGAGGGGCCTCAGGACGCTGGCTCCAGCCCCTCGGCTCCCTGCAGCCGCCCCTGGGAGGGAGTGCAAGGCCTGAGGGGGCCGTGCTGGGATGCAGCACCCTGGGGGCATCACAGGTGAGGGGCTGCGACCCTCCCTGACCAGAGAACCAGACTGTGTCCACAGCCGGCACCCTGGGACAGGCACTGCCAGACTGGCGTGGGGAGAACTCGCGAACACAGGGCTCCGGGGGTCTGGCCCCACGGCAGCCGCCCGAGCGCGGATGGAGACGCGGACCGAGGAAGGGGCCCTCAGGGACGCCAGGCGGGAACGGCGGTGGCACGGACGAGGGGAAGACGTGTGACCGGCAATGAGCCCAGTGGGGATGGGTCCCCGGAGTTCCTTACTCTCTTCTCTTTGCTTCTGCCTGAATTAAAACGTCCCCAAACTTCGAGCTCACAGCAGTGGCAGAGCCTGGGGACACGGCCAGTGCTGAGCGCGCCCAGGACAAGAGACGGACACCAGCACCCTGCTACGCAAGGGCGGCCCCCTCCTCCAGGGCAGAGAGACCCGAGCTCCCCTCAGAACATCCCGGAAGCGTCCTCGGCCTTGTGCTGTGCTGCCATCAGGCGGGTGGCGTTTCTGACTGCCCGCAGGAGGGCTGGAGGAGCGAGCACACCGCCTGCCGCCTCCAGGCCAGGCCCCTGCTCACCTGCACGGCCCAGAGGCCCGACCCTATCAGCTCAGATCACAAGCCCCTGCAGGGCCTGGACAAGCAGGCAGATCTGGGTCACTCTGCAGCCACCATGCTGCTCCTTGGCCCTGGACAAGCAGGCAGATCTGGGTCACTCTGCGGCCACCATCCTGCTCCTTGGCCCTGGACAAGCAGGCAGATCTGGGTCACTCTGCGGCCACCATCCTGCTCCTTGGCCCTGGGTGGGCATGTGTCCGCACACAGGGATTGACCTGGAGCCTGAGACGGGGACTGACCGGTCTGAGTGAGGACAAGGAGCAGCACGGGTCTCAGAAGAGCCGCCAGCACGCTGGTCAGAGGCCGCCCGCTCTGCACTGAGCCCGGACTCGGATGCGGGCAGGCCTGCTGGCAGCCGAGAGCCTGCGCACAGCTGGTCCCCGCGGGGAGCGAGGCCGGAGCAGATGAGAGGGGCCCCGCAGGGTTGCAGACAGCCTGCCGGCACCAAAGGCAGCTCAGCGGCTGCCGCTCCACAGGGAGGGCAGAGGGCAGCCCGGCGCTGGGCACCGACCGCCGCGGGGAACTGCGCGCCGGAGTGTCTCCGCTCTGGGTTCCCTCCGAGCAGCACAGGGCGGGCTAGTGGGGGGGGGGCAGGGCTCTGAGGGGCAGGCGGGGTGCCATGTCAGCCCAGCGAGCAGAGCGGGGCCACCTCTAAGGAAGCTTCCACCTCGAATGGGAAACGGCAGGAAGGACCCCAAGAACAGGAAGGGGGGGGTCAGAACACACACACAAGGGCCAGGGGCCCTGACCCCGCAGCCACGGGCCGGCAGGGAGCCTGCTGTGCGGCCGTCGAGACCCAGTCCGTGAGACCGCCTCTGGTCTGAGGGCCTGCACCAGCCTCCGACTTGGTCGGTGGGAGCCGAGCGCCCCAAGGCCGCCTCCACGACTGGGACAGAGCCCACCTCGCAAGGGCACCCCAGGGCCACTCCTCCAGGGCCCTGCCCTCTGGCCCTGGTCCGGGGTAAGGTCCGCCGACGAGAAGGTGACCAGAACCAGCACCTCCCGGGGCGGCAGAAAGGAAGGGCAGGAGGAAACCACACTGCACAGGCGAAGCGCACGGAGGACAGCTGAGGGACTGGCCCGCGACACGAAAGCAGAGCCACAGGGCAGCGAGCAGCGTCCTGGGTAAGAGGAACCCTCTCCCACTTCCTACTGAGGTGACGTCACTGCAGATCTGACCACGACTGTGAAGCCTGCGCCCGCATCAGGGACTGTGTCCCTTCAAACCTGACTCAGGCCACAGGCCAGACGGAGGCCTGGGGTGGACGTCTGAGGCTCAGCTCATTCAGGAAGCAGCACAGGCCCCGGGGTGGGGCAGGGCGAAGTCGGACCGACCTGGGGGAGGGGGCGCAGGCAGACCCCACGGCTGCAGGCAGCGTTCACAGGACCACGGAACTGAGGGTCCAGAGGAGACACTTCCTGAGCCGTGACCGCGACACCGAAGCCCAGAATGCTGTTCCACGGGCACGGCGGCCAGAGCACACGCACCCCCGCCCTCCGGGAGCGAAGGGGGGAACCTGACTCCCCCGGGCCTCAGGCGGGAGCAGAGGCCAGCAGCTCCCACGGGACCGCAGACCCCACCTCTCGGTGGTCAGGGTGCAGGCAGGGCAGGCCCAGGGCCCGCAGGGTACACTGGCAGCAGGGACACCCCAAGTTACAACCAACTGACAACCACCTGTCCCACTGGTGGCCAAGACGCGTCCGGCTTTTGTCTCCCAACCCTCCAGGGCCAGGCTGGCCAGGGTGGGGCGGCCCGCAGGGCCGGGCTCACCACGCAGGGGTGACTGTAGAAACGCCGACTCCGAGTTCCTGTGCTAAGAATCTACTAGATGACGTGTGAGGTCAGCATCAGGCAGAGCAGGGGCCTGGGGACAGCGGGGCGGGGCCGGCTTATGTGGGCCAGGGGGTGAGCTGTAACGAAAATTCAGCTCCCAGGCCCAGCCGGTGTGGCTCAGTGGGTGAGCGTCGACCCTGCACCAAGAGGTCGCTAGTTCGATTCCCAGTCAGGGCACATGCCCGGGTGGTGGGCCGATCCCCAGTGGGGGGCGTGCAGGAGGCGGCCAATGAATGTTCTCTCTCATCAGTGTTTCTCCCTCTCTCTCTCCCTCTCCCTTCCTTTCTCTCTAAAAATCAATAGAAAAAAGAAAATGTTTAAAAAAAAACCAAAAACATGTGACCCAGCGTGCATGACACCAGCGTCCACACGGACAGCTCACAGCAGCGGCTCAGCCAAGGGCGGGAAGGACCAATGTCACCTGGGGAATGCACAGTGAGACGCAGTCCACACAGTGAACGTTCAGCTGTGAAAAGGAACAAAGCATCGGCGCGTGGACACCACAAGCGCCTCGGACACCTGGCGTTGGCGGGAGGCAGCCAGGGCCGGGCCACCCAGGGCCACCCAGGGTCCCCCTCGCAGGAGCAGCCACAACAAATCGACAGAGCGCAGCTGCCGGGCCCAGCAGGGCCCGCTCACGGGGACGGCTTCCTTCTGGGACGCGAGTTCCGGTGTTAGTGCCTGGCTGTGCGTGTGCCCGAGTCACGGACGCCAGGGCGCGGCGTCAGGGTGACGCTGTGGGCAGCAGGACGGGCCTCGCCCGTTCCTCACAAGCTTCTGAGCGCCGAGTCCCGGGCCTGGTGCCCAGAGACTGAGCCGTGATTGGAAGCTGGAACTTTCAGCCCACCCAGCCCTCACGCCGCGTGGGGCCCCAGGACCCAGACCGCGTGGGGAACAAGCCTCGCCGTCACTGTGCCCTTTGTGATAAACCGAAAAACCCAGGTAAGAGACCCCTCAGCTCCGTGAGCCGTCCCGGCAAACCATCGAACCTGAGCGCGGTGGTGGGAACCCACACCTGGACGGTCTCCTCTGGCTGCACCTCCAGGGCACCTCTGCAGACACACAGCCAGTCCTGCCTGTGACGGACCCCACGCTCCACATGAGCCCAGAGCCCCAGTGAGTCCCCAGCGGGGCGGGGACATCTGCCTGGCGCCCCTCCCTGTGCGGACACCGGGCACCCGGCTGACGTCCGTTCCGCCAGACCTGTCGTAGCAACGACCCGGGGCCCTGCCCACAGGAAGCTCTGGACTTTCACTGCCTTCCGGACACACTGGCCCACGGAGCAGCCACGCGGGGACGGTCTTCCCCAGGGCAGGCCTGTCCCTGGGGGGGTGACCACAGGGAGGTGGTGTGCCGACGCCGACAGCGAAGTGCCCCTTTCAGACAGACAGGAACACCCGACTACTCCGGGACGAGGGCCCACGCGGTGGCCACGGGAGCGGCAACCAGGAGGCCCAGGAGCACGAGGGGTGGGGACCACCTGTGGCCTCAGAGCCTGGAGCTGGTCCACGGCCCGGTCACCACAGAGGAGCCCAGACCCGCCACTCCCGGGCTGAGGCTGCAGGCCCACGAGCGGAGCTGCTGGCTGGCATGGAGCCGGCCCTGGTCCCTCTGCCCAGCCGCGTCCCACAGTGTGTCTGTCAACACTGCAGCTGTGTTTTCACACTGGTCTCACGGAAATCTGGACACTACTGTCAACCACAGGGCTGAGCACACACCTGGCAGGCCTGCCCGGAACGGCACTGGGCCTCCGTGTCCCCAAACAAGGGAGTGGCCGGGCACAGACCCGACCTCCGGGGCAGGACGACAGAAATCTGAGCAGCAGCCGCAGGTCTGTGTGCGGTCAGACTGGACCTGGGTCACATGCCCCTCTCGCCCCCTTCGGTCCGTGGCCCCCGTCAGCTGCTGGAGTTCTGCCGGGCACCTGCGCCGTCCTCCCACCCCGGGCCACGCCCGAGCCTGCTGGCGACCTCCTCCGCGGGCACCTCACAGCCTCGCAGTCTGCGGGGTACCGTCATTTCAGAAAACCTTTCCTCATCCGACAGGGAAACCCAATCCCACCTCAGACAGAGACGGGCCAGACCCACCGGGCAGGTGGGCGAGCCAGGGTCTTACCGAGTTCCTTGGAGCCCTGGCTCTCGCTGGCCAGCTCACCCATCTTCACGAGGGCATCGAAGTAGCCTGTGGCAGCGTAGGTCACGCCTGGGGGAGAGAGGGGGGTCAGTTCCCTCTGGGTCGAGCCACATGGCCCCAGAGCAGCCCCCCCCAGGGCTCCTCTCTTTATGAGAACACGGTGTGTTCGGGTCACTGAGTCCCAGAGCAGGAGCCGGGGGTGTGTACCTCCCAGGACACAGGCCCCGGAGAAACCCGCACAGACGGCCAGCAGGAGGCCAACTACTCAGAAGTACTGGCAAACCCGGGACAGAGCTCTGCCCCACCGCCTGGCCCTGGTCTGGGCGCCGGACACGTAGCTGGACTGGGTCACGGCGCTCAGGCAGCTCGCACCACGGCCAGAGGGGCGGAGGGCGCGTCACGGTGGACCTGGCTTCTCACAGGACTCAGAAGGCTCAGGACCCTGAGCTCCACGCCCAGCGCCTGCTGCCTGGGCGCACTCCCTCCAGGGGTGACCCTCTGAGACCCGGTGTGCCCTCCAGCTGGGGAGGAGCCAGCTGGCCGGGCGCTGCCAGCCGTGTAATTACGATTCCAGCCCGCTCTCTCCAGAGCCCAGTTAGGGGCTGACAACCGGCACTCGATCACATTTTATCTGGGTGGTCGTCAACGAGGTGCACAGTCCATCCTGCTGCCCAGGGCGTGTGGGCTCCAGGCTCCATGACCCGGAGGGCTGGCGCGTGTCTGCTGGGGGAGGGGGAGCTCCTAAAACCGATGAGAAAGGCCGGACTTGTCACCAGTCCACACGGGGAGGCTGAGTGCGGCCGAGGGGATGGCGGCGACAGGGCCAGCGGAGCTCCTGCTCCGGGACCATCCAGGGAAACAGCAGAGGGAGGGGCCCACACCCTGGAGGGCCTCGGGGTGGGGTGGGGGGCAGAAAAGCCCGAAGGACAGCTGTGCAGCACATCAAAGCGCTGGCACAGGGCCAGGAAAGGCCGCCTCCTCCCGAGACCCTGACCGGGACACCGTGCCCACGGGCGGCCCTGGGCTGAGACGTGGTCGGAACCGCGCTGGCCCTTTCGATTCCACTGTGCACGGGAGTCAGATCCGTCTGGGAGCAGATGAGGAGCCAGCCCTGCTCCCAGGGCTGGGATAGCGAGAGACAGCAGATCCTGGGCCCTGGGACCTCCACGCCCTCCGGCCCCGCTCAGCACCGCAGACGGACAAGGAGCTCTTGGCACCGAGTCTGTCCTGCAGGCAGGGGCTTTGGGAGGGGCCCGACTCAGGACCCCGTGCACCTGACAGCCAAGGACTCCGCTCTGAACTCTGGCAGGGACGGGGCCACCCCCACAGCCGGGACCTGCCACGGTCATGGGGCGCTCGGGACCACAGGGCAGAGGCAGCTCGGAGGACATGGGAGCTGTACATCCGCCCATCGGCCTGCACAGTGGGGACAGGGTGTCCCTGGGCCAATCCGTGTGGACCCTGCTGCTTCCTTCAAAGGGGTTGCCCTGCAGCACAGTCCCCTAGGAAGGGCCGGGGTCGTGACAGAGGGCCCGGGCACAGGGACACCTGATGGGACTGGGGCACCACAGGAAGCCTCTCTGCTCCAGACACGGTGAGTGGGCAGGACTGGCCAGACTCCCACCTGGACACCCGCAGGAACAGGACGACGTAAGCGGGCCAGGACCACGGGAGTAAGAACAAGAGCCACCAGCTCCGGCCTCTCTGTGGGGCCTCTAACCTAACACCTCACCAAACAGAGCCTGGGGCGTGCGGCCCCAGGCAGCCACAGAGGCTAGGACATGCTCGCTCCGTTTGGGAGACGCAGGCACCTCCCTGCCAGGCAGGAAGGAGGCGGGGGTGGCTCTCCTCACAGGGAGGCTGTAATCGGAGCAACACAGTCAAGGGTGTGGGGACCAGCGGTCAGTGCCCCACACTGGGCTTGCGCCGAGCTGGATAGGGTGGGGTCTTGAGTGCACCCTCCCCCACACCCTCTGGAGGAGCTGCAGACAGTCCACTCGCCAGGGACTGCTCCGTGTCCCACATGCGGAGCCGCCGCGGCCCTTCCGCCAGCTTCCAGACGGGGCCACGCCCCACCTGTGTTTAGGTGTCCCGGATAAACCAGAACCCAGACCCACGCTCTCAGCACAGCTACACACGTGTCCCTGGGACCACGGGGTCAGCTCTCAGCATCGGGCCCGCGCCACCCGCCTGCCACGGTGGCCCGTGGGCCTTACCTGCCAGGGCCTTCTCGTAGTTCTTGCCCATAGCGATGAAGTTCCGCAGGCTGGGGTTGAACTGCTCCATGATGGTCTAGGAGAGAGCAGAGCGTGTCAGTGACGGGGGCGGGGCCGCAGCCAGGCGTCCCGAGTCCAAGCCCAGCTGTGCCCTTGACCACCCTCGGGCGAATGGCTTTTCCGCATCTGTACAGTGGGGCAGGAAGGGAGCCCACTGTGGCTGGCCTCGTGGCCCACACGCACAGACACGCGGGTCGCGCGCACACCGTGGCGCTCAGGCGCGTGGCTGGCGGGCGGGGCCGAGGCAGAGCTTGGGCCCGGCGCCCCTCCCGCCCAGGTCCCTCCACGCGCCCATCACCCAGCAGCAGCCTGACCAGCACCCTGCAGCCGCCAGGACTGACCCGCCGGGCTCGGGGCTGCTGCTTGGTGGACTGAAGCCCCAGCGCCAACGACAGCAGTTCTCAGACTGAAGGAATTAGATTTCCACTCGAAGGCCAAATAAACGTTTTAATTAAAGAGGTAAGTACAGGCGCACACAACCAGAGCCGGCGTGCCTTCTTCCGGGCCCTGCCCTGCCGCCGACAGCCACGCGCGCCCGCGAGGCGGGAGACTTTCAAACGAACCCTGTCTCGGCCATGTCCTCTCTTTGGGGTCATCGCCGAAGACCGTGGGGGCCCGGAGTCCCTGAGAACAGCGGCACGGCACTGGCCCCTGGCAATGGCCTTCGCCCCCGCCCCTCCCCTCAGCCAGTGCAGCCACAGACACCCAAGGGCGGCGGGTTCTGGCTCTAGAAAACCCGCTACCTGGCTCGTGCCCCATGCACCCACCCACCCGAGTCCGGCAGGAGCATCAGCAGAGAAGCACCGTGTGAAACGTGGTTGTGGGGGGATGAGGACCCGTGTCTGAGCTGCTACCTACTTCTGTCTGGGGCTGGGCCCCACGCTCGCCGAGGGGTGATCACCGGGTTCTACGCCAAGTCCGCAGGGCAGCTGGACCTTAGCTCCTGGCCGTGCCTGCTGCGTGGTCACCGGCGCTGAGGCACATGGACACAGCAGTGCCCCACGGACACAGTCCCATCCCCACGGCTGGACTCAGGTGGGAGTGAGGAGGGGGCGCTCATCGAGATGGGAAGGCCCGCCGGAGGGTGTTGTGGGGACAGGGGAGCCACCAGCAGGGCAAAGGCCCGGGACCAGGGCCGCTGGCTGCACCCGGGAGACTGGCAGCGGGCAGGCGAGGGGCAGGGAGGGCACAGGGAGGGAGCCCTCCGCGGGAAGGAGCCAGCTGGTCTCACTCCATTTCTGAAGGCTCCCCGCTGCGGGGTCCAGACTAGCCAAGGGGCCAGGCAGGTGCAGGGACCTGTGAGGGCGGAACGGAGGGGCCACCCGTATGTCCTGAGCACTACGGCTGCGATGTGGGGTGATGGGTCCTCTCTGGTGGGAACTCTCAGAGGCTGAGTCCCTAGCCGTTTTAGGGTTCACACAGGCGCACTTGGACTTATTAGGCTGTGCTGTCCCTGGGGCCAGGGTGGATCCGAACCCCCTCAGAGGCCCCAAGAGGGGGCCCTGCCGCTCCTGCCCCACCGCCACCCTCTGAGCCAGGCCAAGGGGGAGGGAGCATCTCTCCGTCACTGACACCCAAGGGTGGGGGCTCTGGGACCCAGCACACAGGACCACCAGCTGTGAGCGCCCAGGGCTTCGAGGTGCTGGCCTAGCGCCTGTCGCGAAACTCAGGGGTCGGAGAGCCACTGGGCGACAGAGGCACCGCAGGACCCCGCACTCTGGGCCGAGCCCGCTTCTTCCCACATCGACACCTGTGCTGTGCAGTCGGAGCCCGGCGGTCCCAACCCTGCTGCGCTGGCCTGTGCGTGTCCCCATGTGTGTCCCCGTGCACATCCGTGTCGTGCGCGTTCCTGCGCGTCCCTGTGCGTGTTCCTGTGCGTCCCCGTGGTCGCCTTCGCAGGCCGGGAGCTGCTGGCATGGCATGCCTTCCTGTCACCCCCTGGCTCACTCAACACCTATCACAGGGCAGGTCCCGGGTGCCAGGCAGGAGCTGAGGACTGTGGTGGCCCCCAAACACCTCCACAGAACACACTGCGAACGGGTCAGTGTGAGGAAACTCCCGAGTTCAGGTGTGCGTGGTTCAGACAGGCCCCTCTTGCTGGACAGCTCAAGGCAAGATGTCCCTGCGGCTCTGGGTCACACCCAGGCCTGAAGCACCCCTTCAGGATGGCACTGAGCAGCCCCAGCAGCCCCTGGGGCCCGGCCGGTCTGAGCACAGGAGCCATCGGTCTCCAGGCCCAGCGGCTGTGAGCCCTGTGAGGCCTCCCTGCCTGGCCAGCCCTCCTAGACGGTGACAGCCATTTTGACTGGGTCATGGCCTGCCCGGACAAGGACAAAGGGCAGAACACCGGACTCCAGCAGGGAAGACAGGAAGGAGCCGCTGGAGCTCCCTCCAGAGCCAGGCCCCGCGCCAGCGAGCGCCCTCTCCAGCCTCTTCCTGCAGCGCTGCCTCGAAGTATGCGGCAGACGGGAAGGGCCGGGCCTCCTGCCCACCCCCCGCCCCGATCCTGCCTAGTCTGTGTCGCTGCCCAGTTTACCAGAGGACACGGACAGGGAGATCAGACCTGCCTGCTGTCCCTGCTCGGCCCTGGCGGGCCCCACCGCCAGCTCGTGCCGGTCCACACACGGCCCAGCACTGCTGACAGGTGGCCGGCAGGCAGCTCCGGGAGCTGTGTCCCAGCCACCGGAACAGGGGTGAGGACGAGGCGGGCTCTGGGCTCCGCGCCCCTCCCCAGGAAGGCCGGCACCTGGCCACCTTGTCACCTGAGGGCAGGGCCGGAGCCCGCCCAGTGCCCGGCTGCCCAGACCTCCCGCCCTGCCGTGACTCAGCAGGACAGCAGGGCTAACGAGAGCGGGCCGTCCAAGCGGAGCCACGGTCCAGACGCTGCTAGAAGGTGGCAGCCCTCCCCCAAGGTGGCCCAGTCCACTGTAGCCCCACAAGCTCCGACCAGCTGGGCTCTGGGCAGCGAGCAGCCTGTCCCTCTCTAAAACCTGGGGCATCCGTCCAGGGATCGCTTCTTAAATGAATAAAACCAACTCCAGGAGTTCAGTGGGAGTTAGGAGGGCTCCCTGGAGGAGGCCGACCCCGAGCTGGTCAGAGCCAGGGACCGACCCAGTGGGCGGATGACGCTTCACAGCACCAGCTCCCCTCCCCCACTCGCAAGGCCTCAGCCTGACAGGCCCAGCTAGGCCAGGGCCACACAGCACACCGAGGCCAGGGGCACCTCCTTTGTAAGGGGCCAGGCCCCCGAGGAACAGAAGCCTGGACTGTTCCAGAGCAGGGAAAGCTGGAGTCCCCGCCCCAAGTGAGGTGGAGGAGGGGCCTGGGGGCAGCTGAGGCCCTGAATGCTCTCCGGGGAACAAGGGTCGCCCTAGAAGGGCTGTGGTCTCCGCCTCCTCAGCTTCCCAAGCAGCAGCCAACAGTACCATCAGGTGGCGACTCGTGTCTGCTGCGGCGTCCCGCATGGCATGGGGGAGCACAGCAGCCCTCCCTCCCGAGCCTAAGGGTGGGGACCCCAGCCTGCCACCCTGCTGGCCCTGCGCCAGGAGCCCCAGGAGAGAAGCCTGGGTGGCAGGCTGGGACAGAGCTGGCCATGCCCAGTGCCAGCTCCGGGGCCTTTCCACACGCTCCTCGGGGGGACATGGCCCACGGGTGGGTGAGGAAGGAGAGCCTGAGCCCCCGGGGTCTCCGGCCCACTCAGGGGTCGTGAACCGTCACGGATTCCTTGGGCCTTGGATGCCCGCATCCCCATCCCCAGCTCTCTCTCGGGGCTGCAATCTTCAGGTACCCCAAACCTGATCCCTCCTGAGTGAGGCCCCAAGCGGCTCGTACTGGGGGCGCAGGGCCAGAGCGCACTGGGTGGGGCCTGTCCCGCTCTGAGCCCCCCCACAGGAACTAGCTCACTCCAAGAGCAACAGGGTCCAAACATGCCCCCTGGCCCTGGCCACTTCCTTCCTGTCCGAGAGGCATGTCCTGCCTGTCCTGAGCTCAGTGGGCAGGGTCCCTGGAAGGACTGCAGACGCTGTCCACGCGCAGCCCGGGCCGCACCCGCCCACCACGCAGGCCTGCCCCAGGGACCTGCGCGCCTTCTGCTCTGCGTGGCCGTGCGGCCCTGGCTCCCCGGCTGCCCACGGTGGGGCCTCAGCGAGCTCCTGAGGCTGCGCTGCCCACGCCGAGGACTGCCACCTGACGGAGCTCGGAGGGCACCCCTCAGGGCCTGAAATTCCAGTGGCCTGCAAACAGGTCACTGCATTTCAACAGAGAACACCCAGATAGCCCCACACACCAGCCCGCTCACCCTGAGGGGTGACGGCCATCAGTGTCGGGGGCCGAACCTGTGCCCTACATTTCCACGTCTGGAAGACCTCGCCCCCAGCACCTTAGAAGATGACTATTTGGAGACAGAGTGGTCACAGGGGGTCACCAGGGTGGGCCCCACCCCGCATGATGGGCGTCCCTATGAGACCACCCGATCAGGACAAAGCACACACAGTGGGACGGCCCCGTGAGGACAGGAAGGGGATGGCCTTCTGGGGGCCCGAGGAGAGAGGCTCAGGAGACAGGCCGGGCCCCAGAACGAGAGGCTAGTGTCTGCCGGCCAACCCCGCGGCCCGAGGGCGTGTTCAGCGGCCCGAGCTGAGCCGGCCCCTGCCCTCTCCTACTGGCCATGTGGAGGCCTGAACCCTGGCCGTTCTCAGCACCGACACAGGACCAGGCCTGGTGAGTGCGCGACCAACTGGCTGAACGTTCCAAGGCCACTGACCCGTGCTGTCCTCCAGGCGGCTCCGGCCGGAGTTTCATGGGCTGGGCTCTCACTGGATGAGAAACGCCCAGTGAGCAAGCGGCCACAGCCCCAGACCGGCGCCTCCTCCAGGGCCTCCCTGCTCCTGCTCGGCCGCCGCCCCGCCCGCGGGAGCTGGGCCCCTCTGCACTCCATCAGCACTGCAGCCCCGGCCTCCCGGTCCCCCCGACGTCCCCTCTCACAGCCAGTGAGCCAGCCCCACGTGCCCGGCCGCC